GTGAAACAATATAGCCCGGAGCCGGAGCCGGAGCCGGAGCCGCCAAAAAAGGGGGCGACTCCGGCTCCTTTTTATTTTTTGAAGAGGAAAAAAAATAATTGACCTAGTTCGGTTTGACAGTACAAGGCAAAACATATGGTACTTACGTCATGGGCCATCAAATGAATGAAAAAATCCGAATATCCCCAGTATCCCACAGTACGCAAACAACTTCCTGTTTGCTCTCCCCCCCCCACGTCTACTGCATCCCCAGAACATGAGGACCAGTCATCAGGTGACGGCCATTGTTTTCAAACCAGTGCAGTGGACTGCGACTCCCAGCACTAGAGGTGGCAAAAGATGAAAATTTTGGGAACCAGACTCGAACCAGACCCGACTGGACATTTCTGGAACCAGTCGGACCCGGTCTTAGTTGGAATCGGAACCAGTTGGACCCGTTCCCCATGCAAACTACTTGTAGGTATCATCAGTTGGATCATATAAAACAGCCTATTTCCCACTGGGAATATTCGTGAGCTACTGTGTGCAAAGAAACATTCACTTAATTCACTTCATATTTTGCAATAATGTGTAGTGTGCATTGTGCAAGATGTAGTATAGTTTATGGTAGGACCCGGTTGGACCCGTCATAAAATTTCCAGGAACCGGTCTGGACCCATATGGGTCCAGACTGGTTCTTTGGACCGGGTCCTCGGGTCCACATTTTGCCACCTCTACCCAGCACCGTCTCATCCCACACACCCCCCACCCCTCACCCCCCAATGCAGCCGAGACGGGTGTCAGCTTACGATGGTTCACTGAACTCCGATTCGCGGCGACTGCGTTTCCAATGCCATCGCTTCCTAGCCCTTTGTTCTGCCAGTTCTCTCCGAGGTGCGTTTGCGCGGGGACGCGGTGAGCCGGTCATGGCAAAGAGTAACGCGTATAACCAATCCAATTTTTCTTCCACCCGTATTTAATTGATTGCGTAGGGGATGTACTGAGTCGGAGCCGGAGCCGCCGGAGCCGGAGCCGCCGGAGCCGGACCATTTTACTCGGAGCCGGAGCCGGAGCCGGAGCCGCCATAACATTTCACCCGGAGCCGGAGCCGGAGCCGGAGCCGATTTTTTTCTCCGGAGCCGGAGCCGGAGCCGGAGCCGTCTGAAATTTCCACGGCTCCGCATCCCTGTTTAAAACACATAATAAAATAATTAAACACACAGGCAAGAAATATCACATAGCTACATGAAAGATATATAATGATACATTACAAAAAACATCTCAAATAAGGCAGGGTCTTGGTATGAAGTTACAGATATATTATGCTAAGTATTGTGTGTAAATACACGTATTTCCCAATAAACACATATACTGGACTGTTAAGCTATTACACACTGGGTGAGCACTGAGCTTTGTCATCAAATAATGAGTTGAAGCCTTGAATCAGCAGTAAATTAATCCATGTCAATAAGATGACGCTCTGTTATTTGGTGATTCAGGATATGACCATGAGTGATTACCAAAGTGTTGGCATCAGAAATCATGGCCCACTTCATAATCAGACTAGCAAGTGCTGAGGCCCCTACAAGCCACTATGTGCTTATCCTGATTCCTTAGGTATTTTAATATGAACTTCTCATCAATTAACTAGGTAGCCCAAATTCTACTTAAGATATGCTTTGAAAAAGACCAAGTAGCTTCATTAAGCTCACTTTTCTTCAAGCTTCAGACTCATAAGCATCATATAATAATACCTGACGCTATTCATGTTACATAGGTAGGTCCGGTAGCCACTTACCACCACTGATGCCAGCTTATGCACCAGTACAGGTATTAGTAGAGCAGACGTCACACGAAGGTTTTCCAAGAAGGTTTTCCAACCAAAGAGAGGCGCCATAACCGTACGTATTTCTTTCTAGGAAAACCTTAACAAACCTAACCTAACCTAACCTGACCTGACCTAACCTAACCTACAACCTACAAACCTACAAACCCACCCTACAACCTACAAACCTACAGCACCTCTCCTCGGTTGGAAAAACTTCATGTGATGTCTGCTCTACTAATGCCCCAGTACCTTCAATGGTATTGAAATCTCCTATTGATTAATGTTTTAACCGCAGGCTGTTTGAAAAGACAAACACTATTCGTTAGAATTGTGCTTTTCTGTTATGATTCAAACATTAAAAAAGCCAAAATCATCTTATCTCATGTCTTATATTGCCTTTACTTGCAAATAACTACTCATATGCTAGATTCTACATGATTCTATTCAAAGTTCCGAATCCACCTCCCGAAATTCTCCCTTTTTTACTTGCTTCGACAAAAATACACAAATCACGAGAATGCAAATCCTCGCGCTTATTCCGGCAGGGAGCTGTCGTTCGCAACGACATTTTCTATTGAAAAACAACTGGAGCAGTTTGTGGTTCAGTAATGATAATAGCAGTGTGATAATGAGGACTGAGGATATTGACATGAAGTCCCCCAAAAAAGTTCACATGACACCAACAAACACTATTCGCACCTTCACCTATCAGTCTTCCTGCAACAGCTGCAAGGTGTCATTCATAGCACATCAAGATGGGTACTGTTGCCCAAGTAAAGTGCATGTTTCTGGACAATTTCTGGGTATCTACCTATTTGGTTTTCCATTATAATTGCCAGTAACTTTCAAGGCAAACCCTGAAGTAATTCTGTAACCAGCGGCGTATTTAGAAAATCGCGAAGGGGGGGGCCAAGGGTTTGGAGGGCGCCACCTCACCCAAGGAGGGCGCCATACGGTCGCGAGATAAAAAATCACTCAACGGGGGGGGGGGGGGGGGGGTTGGGAGGCGTTTTTTACCATGCCACCAGTTTTTTTTTTTGCGTAACCTCGTATAGGTCGTGCTGCATTGATTTTGCATCGTGTGTATTCTTTATACTCCAGGTCACAAAAGGTCAAGTGGTCTTGAAATGCTGCGCCGAAGGCGCGCGAAATTTTTGAAAACAACCTTTTCCTCCGCTTTTTAGGCACGCCTTTTATACGATCAGTGTTCAAAGCTCCTCTCGCTCTTTTACCAAATTTGAAGGTATAAAAAATACCTAAGGTTTGGTCGGGCCGCTGCCACACAAACTGTATAGAAAGCTTGGCTCATGGGTGTCGATGTATAAAAGTTTATTGGCGGTGGCATATCTACGCACCAGATCACCGTATCGGATTGATACCGGAGCGCGAGATGCGTAAACATCATCCAAATTACCTCAGACCAGCCTTCATAGCCTTCTCACAGGTGCATACAGTGTACCCACATAACCAGTTTCAATCACCGAAACTTCAGATGCCTGCTGTTGCGGCCGAACCTGTTGACAATACTTAATCGTAATACATATAGATGCCATGATGCACGTAAAGTAGGATCAATCCGTTAAGACCAAAGACGTGTTTTATGCATCGTAGAGCGTAGATAGTTTTGGTAGGTATAGGTACTTCATTCATTGTGCTGAATGCACGTTCATTTGTGGCAGTTTTCACAGGCAAGACATCAACTATGTGCAATAGAACGACTAAGTTGAAGAACATGCCAAAGGAGTAAATAAATGATAGGAGGGCAGCGATCAACGGATGTTGCCAATAGGTAGAAGGGCTGCGATCCACAGGAGGGCGCTAATAGGTAGAAGAGCCCCGATCAACATCCCGAGTTTCGACAGTAGGGCACCGATAGGTAGGAAGTTGGCGAGCAGCAGGAGGGCGCCAATGGATAGAAGGGCAGCGATCAACAGGAGGGCACCAATAGGTAGGAGGGCCCCGATCAACAATCAACAGGAGGGCGCCACCAGGTAAGAGGGTGGCGAGGAACAGGAGAGCACCAATAGGAGGGTGGCGATCAACAAGAGGTCGCCAATAGGTGGGAGGGCGGTCATCAACTGCAAGTCGCCAATGAGCGGAAGGGTGACGATTAAAATGGGGGTGGCAATGGTGAGGAGGGCGCCTTTGCTCAAGAGGATGACACGAACAGGACGGCGTCTGTGCGGAGGGCGCTGGTCAACAGGAAGGTGCCAGTAGATAGGAGGGCGGTGATCAACAGGAGGGTGCCAGTGGTTAGGAGGGCGGCGATCAACACGAGGGCGCCAATAGGAGAAGGGCCCCGATTAGCATTCAACAGGAAGGACTAGGGAACCAATAGGTAGGAGGGCGGCACTGAACAAGAGGGTGCCAAAAGGGAGAAAGGCGGCCTTCAAAATTTCACATGAGGGCGCAATAGGTAGAAGAGCGCCAATAATTATGAGGACGCCGATCAGCAGAAGGGCGGCAATGTGTAGCAGGGTGGCGACCTACAGGAGGGCGCCTTCGGGTGAGAGGGCGCTTATTTACAGGACAGCGGCTTACATAGGCGACCACCGTTACGCTTAGAGAGCTACAGCCTACAAATGTGGTTGGAGGGCGCCCGAGGGAGCCCTCCAACCGTATTTGGAGGGCGTATTTAGAATGGGCGTCCTCCGAGGGCGCCCTCCATCCGTATTTTCCCTGTAAACACATTCGCGATTGGAGGGCGCCCTCCAGTCGCGATTGTTTTTCGATTCGATTATATCACAATTGCATTTGCGATTGGAGGGCGCCTTCGGCGCCCTCCAATCGCAAAGGGCGCCTTCGGCGCCCAAGGGGGGGGGCCATGGCCCAGTGGCCCCCCCCCTGCCTACGCCCCTGTCTGTAACGTGTGCCTACCTACGTAACTGAGGAATATGGCCTCCAAGACAACTGATGGATGCCAAATTGCCAACTATTTGATGTCCTAAGATAATCTGTTCCAAGAAAGGTACCTATATGTTTAAAAAGTATAAAAAAGATGCTATTATTCATTTATTTAACTACCAAACATCCTACAGAAAAATTGCGTAACTCCAGTGAAAAATTGCGTCGGTTTCGAAACACATGCGCCATGGTTGTAACAAAAAAAGAAGACTATCCAAATTACAAGAAAATCGACAATCAAACAAAAATTATCGGACAGCATGTTAAAATCCATTCGTGATTGACTTACCAAATCTGCTTTAAATCAATGGTTAATGCCGGGCGAAAGGAATAAATGTGTGTCAAGCACCCCACCCTCACGCACAGCACTTCACTCGCTCACTTCTCAACCACTTTATCAGTCCCGCTGCTATGAAAAATGATCATAGCTTCATCGCACCACATATGACATAGTCACTCACATAACTAGGATGCTTCACTGCCCCCTTCCCGATAAATTTGTATCGAGCCCTAGCCGATCCCCAAGCCAAGCGGCGGCCCCAGACACCTCACACCGCGACAGCCAATCGCAGACTGAAGAGGCCGACCGACGGGCATGTGCAGAACGGCGGGCCGGGGTGCGCCGACGGTACTGACTGGGACTCATAATATCAAGTAGGTAAGTGCACTTTTCCAAAAACCATTTGAATGTACATTCTCAGCAACTATATAATAGTCATCATGCTTAGTGAACTAATCCTATCGAGATCATTTCGTTGACAGCATTTGATAATTGATTAGCTCGTATTCAACTCGCACCGGCTGTCCGGAGCCTTTATGCAGACAATCTGCCTTGCTTAACAACTGCTTTCAGCTTGAATCTTTCTCCTCCGCAGATGTTTCAATGAATAATGTGAAGATTATATGATAAATCGATCAGGTTCACACATAAAAGGGTGTCTTGCTGCAGAGGGCAGGGCCGTCTAGGAAAGAATTCGATGACGGCGACATCTATTCAACGTTTTTACTGCCCTCTATTGCCCTTGCATGTGTGCGACGACGGAAGGGCTTGTTTGTTCGCTTGTTTGCCTGTTTGTTCGTTAGGACTCGGGAGTAGGCTCTTAAACAAGAATATTGAAGATTTAGGAAACGATAGGGTAGGATAAAAACATTGGATTGAGTGGACCGCCGAAGGCTATCATGCAGTGTGCAGCCGGCAGCGACATCCTGTAGATATCTCGGTGGGATGGGAGTGTCCCGTTGGATTAGCCCGCCCTGCCACTCAAACGGTCACCATCATCCGTCCTCGCCATTCTTGGGATAACCCCATCCGCATCCCCCTCACGCTCCCTTTACGGGCTGGCGGTCACCCCACCTGGCAATCGGTGGATGAGGTCGGGTCCACACCAGGATCCGTTAAAATTCTCTCCGGGGTTACCGTTTGCGGGAGGCAGGCGGACTGTCCCAACGAGGCAATCCCATCCCACCGAGACTGCCTCGCCTCCGCGGCTCGCTGTCGGTGTCCCGCACAGCTCAATGTCTACGACCTACCCTGTCATCCCATAGCTCTGCAATGGTCTTCTTAGGCCGAAAGAGCTTGCTCACCCCCCCCCCCCCCCCTTCCCCCCCAAGAAAAAGACAGTGACGCCAGAGATGGTATAGAATTACATTAATACTCAAATTAATGAGAAGCCTTCATAATCCGTCCTTACTTTTCAGTCAAGACCAGCCTAGATCTGCATTCTCTCACAGCACGAAATCCGGGCAGACGGTGACCCCCCACCAGACAACCGATGGTGAGGGCAAATCCGTCATTGGGAGACATCCTCTCCGGGGTGACCATTTTAGCAGCACTGATGGGCTGTTCTGTTCTTACCGGACCTTTCCATCTCAACAGAGCGGTATTCTGCTACTGCGCCGCACCGTCGGCGGCCCGCTCAGTCCAAACTCCAAAGTTTCCAGTCCATTCTAGCCTCTCAATCCTTGGCTCTGAGATAGCCTTTCCAGACCGAAAGAGCAAAACAAAAACAAAAACGCAGATATTGGTTGGTGAAAAGGTAAACTTACTGTTGAAATTGCCAACGGCAAACCGCGTTTTCAAAACCGCGTTTTCGTTTTCAAACCGCGTGGGCCTCGCCCTCTTCGAACAAATTATTTTTAAAAAGTTCATGTGCTATTTCTTCGGTGTAAGGTAAGAATGAGGGTCGAAATCCCATTTCTTGATCAGATGATCCGACTCCTTGTGACTAGACAGACTTTCGCATATCCAGAAACAGCCCTGTAATGTTCCTTCATCCGTCGCTAGATGGCAGCATAATCGAACGCCTGTACTTAGGCTGACCCGCATGGCTTTACCCTGGCCGGCCGAGGGGGACGGTTGCTGCCCCGGGCCTCCCATAGGGGTTTTCGTGATAGCTCCGAACACGCCGGTGATAGAGAGCTAAAACTTGGCAAACCTGACCTTTGATCCAAGCCACATCTTGTGACGCCAACTGATTTTTTAGGTCAGGTCAGGTCACTGACCTATGACGTCATAAGTGAACCTCTGCACGGTCCTCAGATGTCGCAACTTCGCAGCGCCCTCAGTGCCAGAGGAACTTTCGCAGGGAGTTGAAACTTACAGGATGTAGTATACTCCAGAGGTGTCACAACTTGTATATCTCGGATTTTCCTAAAGGTCACATGAGGTTAGGTCGGTCACGTGACTTCACCATTATATCAGTCAATGGGGAAAAAAATGAAAACTCCTATTTTGGCGCCGGGGACGATCTCAAACTATCTCAACCACACGGAATCGTAATTTGTTGCACTCCTTGCACGTTCCGACGCTTCACTTTTGCATTGTTGACCTTGCGTGACGTCATTTATGACGTCACTTGGACCATAAGAGTTTTTCGTCAATAACTCCCGATCAAATTAAGCTAGCGAGTCGGGAAAGCCACCATAGGACCCAGAAAGACCTGCCGAATCGAATGCTATGCGACATGACCTCCTTTGACCAACTTCGTAACCTGGTGGGGCGCTCACCTGACCTTGACCCGAGGTCAATTCTCAAGTTGACCTGACCCGAACAAAAAGTATACCATTTGACGCGCCTGAGCAAGGCGAACATGATGATGCCAATTGCCAAAATCGCGGCTCTGTGACCGTTTTAATGAAAAACTGAACCTGTGCCTTGGGTCACTTGGCCTGACCTCATGGGTCATCGGTTGACCTGAGACCTTCAAATCGGGCACCAGTCGGCAGTCTCTGCGTCTCGTAACGGCGCACACGCTCTTTTTTTCCACGACGCTCTAGCTTCATCAAAAGCGAAACGGCGAGGGGGTCGTACCCCCCCCCCCCCTGTCGGCCGGCGCGTATGTAGAAAACCAATAGGTCCGGCGACGGCGAGAGTTAAGGTCATTCCTCACTTCTCTAACTAGCCGAGAATCATCGCAGTCTGATCTTAGACGATTTTGGGCTCGAGCTGTAAGTAATACATGACCTTCAGACTTCAATCGTAACTATCAAGACTACAGGAAAAAGACATCCCTGCTCTCTGCAGCTGTATTGGTGTATTGCCCAATGCCCAAGTATGCCAGCCGAGAACGTAGGTAGGTATATGGGCAGGGGTCCTTTGGATTCCCTCGTCGTTCGGCCCTGATTGAGCTAGAGCTTTGCGGAAAAAGCGAACGTGTTGCCCGTGACGAGAGGAAGCTGTTGATACCCGATTTTAATTTCCTGGGTCACTGGATGACCTTCCAGATTAGGTTAATGACCCAAAAGTCGAGAACATCGGGACCTGCTAAAACTTCGCTAAGTGTGGTTGTTGGGGCTTTCGGGGTGCTGATCACGAGTTTCATGTCACTTTTGATCACAGATGATGTCTTCATGCATTCAGGCCAGGTTGGGTCAGGTCAGGTCAAGTCAACCAGTAGGCGGTCTGCCGGCTATCCATATAAGTTCGTGTCAACAACCACTGACAGCTTCGTAAAATGTTACGAAGGCACCAAAACTACTTCTAAATGTGCAAATGGGTGCTTAATTCGAAATAACCTCCAAAAATTACCCGAGTTGCCGGGTTCACACCGGATTCCGGACCGGCAAAATTCCGTCTGCCGGGCCGGAAAAATGGCCAATTCCGTGCCGGAAAATTGAAAACTGGTGTGAACCGGCAAATCTGGCAACTTCTTTTGACCGGTCCGGCAGGCCGGAGAGCCTGATTTTCCGGTCCGGCAAAAAGTTGAAATCATCTCAACTTTTGCCGGGCCGGATAGCCACCGTTTGTGATATGAAATTAAGGCACGAGGGAAATAATGTTATGTTTCAGCGCTACATGACCAATTTACGCCGGGTTCACACCGGATTCCGGACCGGCAAAATTCCGTCTGCCGGGCCGGAAAAATGGCCAATTCCGTGCCGGAAAATTGAAAACTGAGGCCTGTTTCACTAAAAACTTGTATTTACAAGTGTTTGTAGTTTACAATTCATAAGTATTTTTACCAAATACGTAAAAACCGATTTCACTAAGCTTCATCGCCAGTGGCACCTCCGATAAGAAAATGTTTGCAAATAAACTTGTAAACAATAAAAATGTTTTTAATCAAGAACTATAGCATGTTAAAGATATTGCTTCTTTGTATCAAATATTGTATAGTATTTATGTCAAAAGCTGCCTAATTAAATTAAAATAATGATGCTGTTGGAAAAAGATATAAATGATAATTCACATTGTCCTATTATTGAAAGAAAATAACACGCAAAACATTTGACAGCAGAAGACTGTTGAATGCAATTATGGCGCGCGAATGACAAAACATGACGATATTTTAATACCGATTATTTTGCTTGTTAGGGTGTGTGATAAGTAAAAATATAGCATGAAACGACTCAGCAAAGCATAGTTGTTCTAAATTTATGACTGTTTTGCACTATTGCACAAAAAGTATCAAAATTCCGAACGTCAGGACCACTGGAATTTCAGGTTTGTAATTACGATGTTTTCTTTCAAGTTTCTGGTCTTCGTGAAACAGAAAGTTTGCGATTCCCATGTTTTCTAGCAAACTTTTTCTTGTAAAAAAGTTTGCAAATTTTAAACTCAAAATTCATGTTCAAAGGTTTCGTGAAATCCAAATCTCAAATGTTGGTAATTATTTCTTGTAAACTCAAGCTTTTTCTTTGTAAATACAAGTTTTATTTGTTAGTGAAACAGGCCTCAGGTGTGAACCGGCAAATCTGGCAACTTCTTTTGACCGGTCCGGCAGGCCGGAGAGCCAGATTTTCCGGTCCGGCAAAAAGTTGAAATCATCTCAACTTTTGCCTTGCCGGATAGCCACCGTTTGTGATATGAAATTAAGGCAGGAGGGAAATAATGTTATGTTTCAGCGCTACAGGACCAATTTAACCAACGGTGCCCTAATAGTCTCGCGATTTTTCACGAGAATATAAAATTCAAGCGTAAATTTGACGGCGTTTCATTTTTATTTCAAAACATTTGCATCTCAAACGGAGTGATAGCTACATTTCTGTTTTTGTATTTCACATGACTCATGGCCTTTTCAAATTATAAATTAATTTCATTGGTTGGAAAATATTCATGACTTTATAATAAAAAAGAT